TACCTTTTTCTATTCATTTACTCTCAACCTAGTGGCGCCTTTGTATCTAAAGTGTGTCTGTTTCCAAAGCAAAGAAAACCATAAATGAAAATACAGCTAACAGACTTGAGAGAAAATATTTGCAAACAATGCAACAGACAAGGGCTTAATTTACAAAATATACAAACAGTTGAACTATAAATAAAAAAAAAACCAAAAAATCCAATCAAAAAATGGGCAGAAGATGTAAATGGACATTTTTTTCAGAGAAGACATACAGATGGTTAATAAACACATGAAAAGATGTAACTAACTTTATTATTATTATTTATTTATTATTAGAGAAATCCAAATCAAAACTATGAGGTACCACTTCACATGAGTCATAATGGTCATCATTAAAAAGTCTACAAATAATATATGCTGGAGAAGATGTGCAGAAAAGGGAAGCTCTTACACTACTGGTGGGAATGTAAACAAGGTGGACCATTATGGAAAACGGTATGGAGGTTTCACAAAAAAACTAAAACTATAATTGCCATATGATCCAGCAATCCCATTCCCTGGCATGTATCTAGACAAAACTATAATTTCAAAAAATACATGCACTCCTATGTTCATAGCAGCACTATTTAAAATAGCCAGGACATGGAAGTAACCTAAATATCCATTGACAGATGAATGAATAAAGAAGATGTGATACATATATACAATGGGATATTAGCCATTTGCAGCAACATGGATGGACTTAAGAGATTATCATACTAAGTGAAGTCATTCAGAAAGAAACAAGACAAATATCATATGTTAACATTTATATGTGGAATCTAGAATATGATACAAATGAACTTATCTATAGAACAGTCTAACAGACATAGAGAACAGACTTGTGGTTGCCAAGGGGGAGGGAGTTGGGGAGGAGAGGATTGGGAATTTAGGATTAGTAGATGCAAACTATTATATATACAAGGGATAAACAACCAAGGTCCTACTGTAGAGCACAGGGACCTATATTCAATTTCCTGTGATAAACTACAATGAAAAATAATATGAAAAAGAATACATATGTATAACTGAATCACTTCGCTGTACAGCAGAAATTAACACAACATTTAAATCAGCTATACTTCTAGAAAGTTACGAACAATAAATGTTGGAGAGGGTGTGGAGAAAAGGGAACCCTCTCACACTGTTGGTAGCAATATAAATTGATACAGCCACTATGGAGAACATAATGGAGGTTCCTTAAAAAACTAAAAATAGAACTACCATATGACCCAGTAATCCCACTACTGGGAATATACCCCGAGAAAACCATAATTCAAACTGACACATGTACCACAACGTTCACTTGCAGCACTATTTATAACAGCCAGAACATAGAAGCAACCTGGATGTCCACTGAAAGATGAGTGGATAAAGAAGTTGTACAAATACACAAAAAAGTGAACTTTAAATTGGTGGATTAGGAGAGTAAGAGATAAACTATCAATTAAAGTAAGTTTTAAGATAATAAACAAGGGATTTCATTAATGGGGGTATGTATTTAAGTAGGAAAATATCCTCTAATCTTAATATAAATTCACTCAGCTTTCATTTAATAGAAGCTTCTTTTTCATCTCATGCTCCTAAACATCAACTTCACTTTTTCATACATGTGAAATAATAAATTCTTAACCATTTAGGAATAATATGCCTTTTTAGGAATCTAGTAAGGACTTAGACTTTCTAGGAAAATGAACATATAAATATATATGTTCATATATATTTATGAACCCTTACAATTTAAGGGTTTCTTGGATATTCTGCAGCCCCTAAGTTAAGATCCCCTATTGAAAAAAAATTATGATTTTAATGGGAAAATACAGAACAGATATTCAAATAACTACAATGTCTTATCTTCAATAGAGCAATGAGAATGTAAAATATTTAAACATATATAGGTGGTCTCTAATTACTATACATATTTCATTTCAAAAACTAATTTGTAAATTATATATTTAGAATTTATTACTTATTTTTTCTTATAGAAATATTAGAAACAATGGTTGGGACTATTAAATTAAGAATAGATGCTCTTAAGATAGATAACTAATAAGGACCTGCTGTATATAGCACAGGAAACTCTTCTCAATACTCTGCAATGACCTGTATGGGAAAAGAATCTGAAAGAGTGGATATTTGCATATAGATAACTTAGTACAGTTTGCTGTATAGCAGAAATTAATGCAACATTGTATATCAACTATACTCTGGTAATTTTTTAAAAAAACTAGGTACTGTTTTTATTTGTCTATGTACCATAATGACCTGTGCAAGTAAACAGCATACTTTTTGTTCCCAGGTGATCCTTTATGAAACCTATTTTACTCAATAATGTATTTGAATACAAATGTACTAACAGGAAAAAATATTGAGGCAATGACAAAGATTAAATAAACCACAAAAATATAATAAAAAAGAAGAGAATAAAATTGATTTTAAATTATCTGTTGCTTGAGAAACAGGCTTAATTAGAAGAGAATATAACAGTAAATATAGATATTTCTAGATATTTTTGTTTGAATATACAGGTTCCTTTTTACTGTGTTTCAAATTTCACTGCAAAATATGTTTCTTCTTAATACAACATCTCCTACCCTTAGCCATGAATAAGGTCATTATTGGACAGTAACAATTTTAATGGACTGGAGGGGCAAATATGTTTTGCCTGTAGTGACTGAAGAGTGTTGAAAAAAGTAAGGGGTGGAGAATATTGTTCAAAGAGGTTTTATATAATAAAATAAAATAAATAATTATTTATTATACATCTTAAAATCTGTCCACATTTAATTTAAGTGTGTGTGTGTGTGTTAGTCGCTCAGTCATGTCTGACTCTTTGTGACCCCATGGACTGTAGCCCACCAGGCTCTTTTGTCCATGGGATTCTCCAGGCAAGAATACTGGAATGGGTTGCCATCTCCTTCTCCAAGCTAGTATAAAAATAAGCAATAGAGGGTAAGGGAGCTCCACTGAAAAATTTTTTTAAAAGAAAAATCTTTGGAGTGGGTTGGAGATTAAATTTTTATTGTTTCTTAATCATTATGAGTGTCACTGTGTTAAAGAAGATGGAAAAACTACATTTTGGTGCCATAAATATAAAGGACAATTGCACATTTTCATTTGAATAATGTTGAACTTTCATCAAAACCAGATAAAGTCATGCGTAATATGCAGAATTCAACTGGATACTATTTAATATCTATAGGCTGTGACCCTATCATATAAGATCAATGGATTGACCCAGTCTTGTCTTCAGAAAGGACTCAAAGACATTTGTATACTCAAAACAATACCAAAGCACTAACGAGTGAACGACACAAGACTTAACCTCAGAGACATGGATGATATATCAACTCCATCTTTTTAAGTTTGGTATTTGACTCCCTGGTTAGGTGACAATGAAAGAAATTCAGTCTGGCAGGCTGGGTCTATAGCTCCCTGTTAATGAAATCTGTCAATAAAGAACCTCAGTCAACTGAGAAAGTAATTAACTGTCTTCATAAAAAATGTCTTTAGACTGTAGATTCAAAATTAGGTATAATAATAAACAAAATCAACATAACATAGGCATATGGAGTCATTGATTTAGACTTATGATTTTAAACAGGAATCTTACTAAATTCATCAACATTATCAAAACATTTAAAAGAAATAAAGATTCAACACATCTACATATTTACTGAACTAGTTTTATACAAAATTACCTAAGTATTCAGGAAGTTTTTTTGTTATTGATATCTAAGGTACAGAAAATCAAATACAGTATATTAAACTTAAGTGCAGTTTAAAAGTTTTAGGAAACATAATGTAGTGGTAAAACCTGATTGGAAGTAAATTTCAAATTCTGCTAAGTTTATAAAATAATTTGTATTCAAAATAGCCAACTCCAGAATATGAAACCATAAAATGTAAAATCCCTAAATCCAAGAATTTAAAGATTAAAGCACTAAAACACCTGTTATCCTTTGTGAATAACAAGTTCTAGAATCTTCCACAAACAGTAGGAATAATTCAAAAGGTTTCAAAAAAGTATTTAAAACTAAGGATACTGAAAAAAGATCTGAAGGAAGAGATTAACTTGGAGCTCATAGTATGTGGACTTCTACTTGTTAAAGTAAGATAACTGGATAAAATATAAAAAGGCTAAACTCTGCTTTAGCTTTTCCAATTTAAACTATTAATTGCATTGCTCTTGAGATTAAGAAGGAAAAGATTTAAGAAGGATATGTCTTTTACTGGATTGTGAAAAAGTCTAAAGTTAGAAGACACGGTAATTAGAACAGTTAACAATATAATTGTGCCATCTGAAATATGACCACATGTGAAGCATGGCTACATGAAACCATGGTTTATAAGCATTAAAAAATTTTAATGGTTATATATTGTCTATAAACATTTATACATAAACATGGTTAACCATATCAATGTCTTAAAACAAAATTTTGTTTTAAGTCCTGCAAGTCCAAACAGTAAAAACCTTTCAAATTTTCACACATACACCATAAGTGACTTAAGCAAAATGTGATGTATTAGTCTTTTAGTTCTGTTAGATCATAATCCTAAGGGTAGTAAGTTACAGACTTTAAGGGAACTCAGATGAGTTTGTTTTGGATCTGCAATGATTATATTTGTGCCATTACTTCCCTTCTCACCCTTCCCATTCCATGCTCCATACTACAGGACTCCAAGTTAGATTCTACAAAATATATTTTCAGATTTTACTTTCTTCCTAGTAAAAAAAACATAGGCCAATAGCAATCCTAGATGATTTCATAACTTTGTTAATCACTCTAGCTATCTTTCAAATATTATGTTCTGGAATTCCAGAAAACTACAGTGGAATTTAAACTGTCTCCACCCACTTCCCACTATATTATACCCTCCACTTCCCCACCCCCAGATGAAGGTTAGGTTGATAGATGGATTGAAGATGAAATAAAGCCAGACATCAAATAACTTACTTGAAATCCATCTCTTACCTTCTGTACTTAACCCTGGACTTGATGTGAACTTGGCTACATCAACAATTTTTACAGCAAATTGTTGCCCAGTTTCTCTGTTGATGCATCGTCGTACAACACTGAAGGGACCCCTAAAATAAAAATAAACAAAAGCCAAGTTTAATTTGCTGATTTTCTTAAGCTCCTATTTCCCTTTAATATCTTATTCATATTTCATTTTCTACTATAGCCACAGTTTTCAAAATATAATTGAACATGATTTTGAAAATATTTTCCTACAATTTATGAGGTAATTATTTGAGCTTACTAAGCCATAAAAATAAGAGACAAATTTACATTTCAAAATCACTTAAAAAATTTGAGATAGTATTCTATTCAAGGCAAATAATCTTTGTAATTTTCTCTTCACATTTATCAACATCTTAAATAAAATAAGAAAGTGTTCACAGTGGTGAACTTTTATATATTTAACTTATATATATATAACTTTTACCTTTTGAACCAGATACTTAAATCATTCTCTCATCTTAGCCATCACTTACCTAATCTTCACTAACAACTCCTACTAAGTTTATCTCAAATATTTCTTAATCCTGTCCACTTCTCTCCATGTCTCATAACCTAGCCTAAGCTACTACCAATTTCTACTGGGACCAATGAAAACTTATTTCTCCCATCGTTCCTGCAGTGATGTTTTAAAAATGAAAATCTGATGTTATGCTTCTGCTTAAAATCCCACAGAGACAAGGTATTTGCAATACATGTACTTAGTCAAGAACCAAAATAAATAATCCTTAAATAAGAATATATGCTCCAAGGAAATCTGGGCAAAAGACTTGAATAGACACTTCATGAAGAGTAAGACCTGCATGATTTAACTTCCAGCAGCCTCTCCAGTGTCAACTGAAGTCACAGAGAAATCCTTCGTCCTCCTCAAACTTCAAATTAGAAGTATTCTAAGTCGCCATAGAAAGGAAGTAATTTCTACTAGCAGAACCACTGGTCCAGACATTCTTACCCAGTTCTCTCCTCAGTTGAAATTGGTGGCTTTTCCAGAGATAAATCCACATAACTACGGACACCTTATCTTTGACAAAGGAGGCAAGAATATACAATGGAGAAAAGACAACCTCTTTAACAAGTGGTGCTGGGAAAACTGGTCAATCACTTGTAAGACAATGAAACTAGAACACTTTCTAACACCATACACAAAAATAAACTCAAAATGGATTAAAGATCTAAATGTAAGACCAGAAACTATAAAACTCCTAGAGGAGAACATAGGCAAAACACTCTCTGACATAGATCACAGCAGGATCCTCTATGACCCACATCCCAGAATATTGGAAATAAAAGCAAAAATAAACAAATGGGACCTAATGAAACTTAAAAGTTTTGCACAACAAAGGAAACTATAAGCAAGGTGAAAAGACAGCCCTCAGATTGGGAGAAGATAATAGCAAACGAAGCAACAGACAAAGAATGAATCTCAAAAATATACAAGCAACTCCTGCAGCTCAATTCTAGAAAAATAAATGACCCAATCAAAAAATGGGCCAAAGAACTAAACAGACATTTCCCCAAAGAAGACATACAGATGGCTAATAAACACATGAAAAACACAAATTATTAGAGAAACGCAAATCAAAACCACAATGAGGTACCATTACACATGAGTCAGAATGGCTGCTATCCAAAAGTCTACAAGCAATAAATGCTGGAGAGGGTGTGGAGAAAAGGGAACCCTCTTACACTGTTGGTGGGAATGCAAACTAGTACAGCCGCTATGGAGAACAGTGTGGAGATTTCTTAAAAAACTGAAAATAGAACTGCCATATGACCCAGCAATCCCATTCCTGGGCATACACACCGAGGAAACCAGAACTGAAAGAGACACGTACACCCCAATGTTCATCGCAGCACTGTTTATAATAGCCAGGACATGGAAGCAACCTAGATGCCCATCAGCAGATGAATGGATAAGGAAGCTGTGGTACATATACACCATGGAATATTACTCAGCCGTTAAAAAGAATTCATTTGAATCAGTTCTAATGAGATGGGTGAAACTGGAGTGAAACAGAGTGAAGTAAGCCAGAAAGAAAAACACCAATACAGTATCAGTTCAGTTCAGTCTCAGTATACTAATGTATATATATGGAATTTAGAAAGATGGTAACAATAACCCTATATGCAAGACAGAAAAAGAGACACAGATGTATAGAACAGACTTTTGGACTCTGTGGGAGAAGGCGAGGGAGGGATGATCCAAGAGAATAGCATTGAAACATGTATATTATCAATTGTGAAACAGATCACTAGTCCAGGTTTGATGCATGAGACAAGTGCTCAGGGCTGGTGCACTAGGATGACCCAGAGGGATGGGGTGGGGAGGGAGGTGGGAGGGGGGTTCAGGATGGGGAACACCTGTAAATCCATGGCTGATTCATGTCAATGTATGGCAAAAACCACTACAATATTGTAAAGAAATTAGCCTCCACTAATATAAATAAATGAGAAAAAGAAAAAAAAAAGAAAAAAGAAATTGGTGGCTTTCAATACTGGCCATACAATTGAAGCAACTGTGATGATTGATAAAATAACAATGCCCAGGCCCAGGCATTAAAAACACAAATATGTACTTGGTTCCTTATGACTGACACATTATTGACCAGGGGATTTTTGCAGAAACTAACACCTGTAGCTGACAATTTGTTATGTAAGTTAATATTGAAACGTCTCTGGTCAAAAATGTTTGGGCAACAAAAGACATATTAATGTGTCTCTGATCAATAAATTGTTAATAGTTATAAAATAAGTATCTGAACTAAGGTTAATCTAACATGCTTGAATCAACTACTGATTAATACAGAATTCAATCACAATATACTACATTAGTTTATTTGAAGGCTAGCATAGTTTTTTTGGAAGACTACATAATTTATTAAATACACACACATGTATGTGTATACATGTATGAATTTCCCTCCTTCTCAGGAAACAAAACAATCTCACTGATTTTTACAGGTAGAAAAAAGTACACCTGGATGTGTGTGTGTGCTAATTTGCTTCAGTCTTGTCCAACTCAGTGCACCCTATGGACTGGAGCGCCCCAGGCTCTTCTGTCCATGGGGATTCTCCAGGCAAGAATAATCAGAAGACAGCAAAAAGTTCTTCAGGTACAGTAGGACATTTGTGATATTTCTTGCCTTAAAGTTCGTTCGTCTTTATTCTTGTAATCAGAGGACAGGCAAAAGAATATAATCTAACCTAGACTTAAACATTTCTCTGAGATCATACGAATCAGTTATTTCATCCTGCAGTCATCAAGACATCAGTTATTACTCAGTTTCAAATCTCTTGTCAAGCAATCTAATAAAGCTAAACTGAAACAAAAAGAAATGGTAATGATATACCTTTCAGCACCCTATACAAAAAGGACCTTTTGATAATCAAAACTGTTCAAAGATTTTCCTCTGTGAGAAGACAATGTAACAATGGGAATCTGCACTCCCACAAATGTTTTCATTCTCAAGGTGGATGTCTTACTTGTGATGACTTATCCTGACAATAGCAAGCAATTTCAGGAAATGTTTAGCGTAATTGGTTTTTGTCCACACATAAACCCCTGGGGCTCTATTTATATATATATTTGTATAGTATGCTTCAATTCACTACACCTTTTGGATAACTTCCAAGTTTTAAAGGACTGTGAGAATGAGAGAAAACAATAGTAATTAATAATTAAATTTTGGAGGCCAGAAAGCAGATGGAGTAATGGTAACTGGCTTAGCATTTGTAGGAAGCCTGAATTGCAAGGAGAAAATAATAGTTCAGAACCAAATTCATTTACACTACAGAATTCTCAAGAAGTATCTGAACTCTGAGAAAGAGAGGGTGGGGCTAAACTAACAAGGTTTGAATGAAATCTATTAGAGAAGTAGTTAAGAGTCTTAGATCTGGGACTTCCCTGGTGGCTCAGTGACTTCTCTGGTGGCTCAGACGTAAAGCATCAGCCTACAATGTGGGAGACCTGGGTTAAATCCCTGGGTTGGGAAGATCTCCTGGAGAAGGAAATGGCAACCCACTCTAGTATTCTTGCCTGGAAAATCCCATGGACAGAGGATCCTGGCAGGCTACAGTCCATGGGGTCACAAAGAGTCAGACATGACTGAGCGACTTCACTTTTACTTTCTTTTCAATGGCTAAGACTCCACACTCCCAATGCAGATGCCCTGAGTTTGATCCCTGATCAGGGAACTAGATCCTACATACTGCAACTAAGACCTGGCAAAGCTAAATAAATGAATAATTTTTTTTTAAAAAGAATCTTAGATCCTCCTCCTCTATTTCAAGCCACTGGGTAAATGCCCTACCTTAACCTCACAAAGGGCAATTCACTGAAGAGTGTAAAACATAGGGTCATAGAACTGGTGACACAGGCGGCTGAGGAAGTGGACACTATATAAAAACCAAAGGGATTATATGATCACACACAAAATGAATGTAGACAGCCCATCTTTTTTTCCCTTTCAATGGGGGAGAGGGAGATATTAAAAGCTAGCTCTTTATCCTTCAGGCAGCAGGGAAAAGATTTTCTATTGAATATGTGACCAGGCCAGAAGGAAAGACCTAAAGATAATGACATTATGTTGCTCAAACCACTCAACCAGATCACATTTCTTGAAACCCAAAATCAACAAGTTCTGTCACAAGTTCACAGTTTTCAATCAACTTTCCAACCACAGCATTGATTACATTTTGGGCTAAATAGTTCTTTGCTGTGCAAGGATGTCCTGTGCATTGTAGGGGGGGCTAACAGCATCTCTAGCCACTACCTGGAGATGCCAGTAGCACCCCCTCCGACAGTTTTGCTGATTAAAAATGTCTCTAAACATTGTCAAATGTCCCTAAAGAACCACTCCCCTATTTCTACTCATGAATAGACAACCAACCTCCCAAGATATCTGGAGAAGAGTCTCCAATTTGGATGATAGAGATCAAAACAGAAAAAGGAACTTAGAGGGAACAGACTAAACAAGAAAAAAATTTCCAACTATTAATACCATTAATATCCTTGGAAACATAACTATGAAACAAAAATGGAACTTTCAGGAAACAAGAACAGGGT